ATGGTGAACGAACTGAACACGCGGCAGCGAATGAACCGGACTCATCCACAAGTACTCAGTGGATGCAAAGGCCCGCACTCCACTTCTACAACGCTGCAACGGGTCACCTGCCACACCTCGCCTCTACAAAGATCTTTCCAAAGTCAAGTTTCCGAGTGATTGATGGGACGTGTGGAAGGCTACAAACGGTCAATTTAGCTGCTATGTCAGATAGCATTCAATGCCAGCCAACCTATGGATGGACAGATTGACGCCTAGGAGAGAACGGCCCTTCAGGATCTAAAGCCACGTGTCCTACTTCACCGACGGCTCTCCTCTTCCCATGCTTAGTATAAATGCCCCTTCTCCATAATGAAGAAAGGTTCTCATTCTAATCCTAAGCATTCTAGTCTTTTTAACTATAAAAGACTTTCAATATATTTATACACACTCGATCAACCACTTCCCGGCGAGTGTTCCACCGTCGGCGAACCATTTTCCGGTTGAATATAAAACTGACTTGACCGTCGGAGTGCTTGCGGCCGCTCCCACCCCCTCCGGGAGAGGCCACGAGTGACTAACGGCGTGCTACGTGTGCAGGANGAGTTGACTTGAAGACCTATCCTATTAGCCACGTGTCCGAACCATTTTTCGAGATCAACATAAACAATTGTGTTAATTTTATAAGTAAAAAAGGATTAAGCCAAACGAACGGGCTCGGTGATAAGGGATGAAATGTCGTCCTAATTGTCAGTGTTTTGTATTATTTTTTTTAACTTATAACGAGAATTCACCAAGTGTCTATCGATCTAAAAATCTGTCATTGAATCGGTTTCTATTTCAAGACTGAATAAAAAATTAGTCAAATGTTCATTGGTCTTCGCTTGGTATGAATTAAAATCAATTTTTAGTAGATTTTAATAAAATTTTATGAAAGTGTTGTTGAAAAGTTGTAGGACCGATGAAATATGAAACTATAATTAATTATTGATTTTAAATTAGATTAAAATTTGAACTTTGATCCATACCAAACAGGAGCATAAAATACTTCCAATTGATCGTTGAAATTTATCACGTTGCATTCTATCACTTGCTCATCATGTTTAGCCCCCATTTGGCCCCCCATTTTTTTCCATTACATTATATTAATTTTTTCTCTCTTCATTTCAACCACACATTCAACAAATAAAATAATATTACACAAAATCTAAAATTTTTCATTATTTTTCTATCACACATTCTCTCATCAATCAATATTTCAAAAAATTTCAACACCCCAAAATGAGGGACAAACAGGGGCTAAATTAGTCATTGTATACCTCCATACACTTTATTCATTAAACTTACACTTTCATCACACTTTATTTAATAAAATTTAAAATGTTTCAGAGTGACCATTGAACTTTACTTATTGAATTCAATATTCAAAAATTGAAAATTTTGAAGTATAAAATGTCATACATGAAAATGGTGACCTTCTTTCCTCGTGAAATAGTTTTTGACAACGCTGAAATTTATATTTTAATAGTATTGATTAATATTATTGGTTCTAAATCAATTCGAGATATAATTTTTTTTATTTTCTCGATTTGGGTCTATAATCTCAATCAAAATAAATAAATAATTTCTCTATTTTATTTTCTCGACGTAAAGAAAGATTATGGTTTAAATTAAGATTTATGCATTTTGAATCTAACAATCTTCTTTCCCTCAAAAATAGCTCTTGACGACCAGAGAAATTATATATTATTAAGCAGTGTCAATATTCTCGTATTAGATTGATGGTTTCATCATCTAAGTCGATATTTTGTTTAATTTTCAATCTACGTCCATTTTCAAAGAAAATCAACTTTACTCGAAAATATTGTGAAGTTCAGTGACTACTCGAAAATCTTTTAAAGTTTAGTGAGTAGAGCGTAATGGAAGTACAAATTCACTAACTAATAAAATATGGTGAGTTAGTAATAGTGTGCAACGTGATAAAATTCAGTGACCACTGGAAAGCATTTTAAATTTAAGTGAGTAAATCACAACTAAAGTATAAGTTTAACGACGAGTCAAAATATTGTAAAATTCAGTGAGTAAAATATCACGCATGTATAAGTTCAATGACTGATGAAACATTTACCTCATAAAAAATAAACCGATTTTAAAAATTTTCTTAATTTGCCCCTCTTAACGAAACATAAATTACAAAATATATAATAGTATTTATTTTTTAATGATTTTTTATTTTAATTAAGACAAAAAAATTAAATATTAAAAAAAATTACTACCTCCGTCCCATATATATAGGCTTGTTTGATTTTTCACACGGATTAAGAAATCTCATTTAATGCCGTTGGAAAATTAATTTTTGTCAAAATTCTTCCTAATTTACCCTTATTCAATTTTCAGCATATAGTAGTTAATTTGATGAAAATCATTTGTAACCATAAATTTGAATTTTTTGAAACAAGACAATAAAAGAACCCAGGTTAAAGCACACCAGGTAGGGACAAAAATCAAAATTTATGACTGCACATTATAAATAAATTTCCATTCAAATTTCGATTCCACCAATTTCGTAATGAAAACGCCAATCTCCATTCCGCCAAATTCATGTAATCCACCACTTTCATCATGAACGTGCCATTTCCCATTCTGCCAAATTTCATGAAATCCGCCAATTTCAAAATAAAAACGCCATTTCCATTCCGCCAATTTCATAATGAAAACGCCAATTTGTATTTGAAATTTTATGACTACAAATTATAAATACAGATACAAAGACAGATTTAAGCACAAATAGAAAACTGAACAGTATATCAAAAACGTTTTCCATTCCAATATCTACACCAACTCATAACCATTCCAATGTTTCCCAAAATTTTCAGTTTGATTTAAATCAATTTTCGGAAGATGTTGACTCTGTTGCCACTACCGACACAGTTGCTACAAATATGCTTCATCTAAACAAGAAAAAAAATTTATCTTGTGATACAAGAAGAGCAGTATTTGAGATGCTCATCCATGAACGACGAGATGGAAAGTCAGCAAAAGGAATAATTTCCAAAGTTGCCAACTCGTTTTCTATATCTTCTAGATCAGTCTCTAGAATTTGGCACGACGGAAAACATTTTAGTACTGCAAATAGTGATGTGCCGGATTTCTCTTCTAGGCTACTGAATCGGAGACGTCGAAATACAGTTCGAACAAATGAAGGATATTCCTTTCCGTCATTGAACAAGTATAAGATCTTTATCGAAGGCTTTGGACATGTCGAAATCAACCGTTCATAGGAGACTCAAAGAAGGACATATTTGGCCACATTCGAATGCAGTGAAACCATATTTATCAGCCGAGAACAAGAAAACACGGTTGGAATTTTGCCTTTCAATGGTGGATGAATGTACAATCTCATCTATTCCTACCTTTGTTAACATGCATAATCAAATTCATATTGATGAAAAGTGATTTTATATGTCCAAGACATCGCAAAAGTATTATCTCCATCCGGATGAAACGGAACCCTTTCGCACATGTAAGAGTAAAAGGTTTATTACAAAGATAATGTTATTGGCTGCCATTGCTCGTCCACGAGTTGATGCTACTACAAACGAAGAATTCAATGGCAAAATTGGAATATGGCCGTTCGTGACAAAAGAACCTGCCAAGCGGAATAGTAAGAATCGTGTAGTCGGGACTTTGGAGTCAAGGCCTATTGTGTCAATAACTAAAGATGTGATCCGTTCATGTGTGATTGAAAAGTTGCTGCCTGCAATCAAACAGAAATGGCCATGTTCAAGTTCTAGGACCATCTTCATTCAACAAGACAATGAAAGGTCACATTTGGAAGTTAATAATATCAATTTCGTAGAAGCAGCAAGAAAGGATGGATTCGATTTTCATTTATGTTGTCAACCTCCAAACAATCCCGATATGAATGTCTTAGACCTTGATTTTTTTTAGAGCCATTGACTCACTTCAACACCAACAGGCTCCAACTACAATTGAAGACTTCATTTCAGCAGTGGACAATGCTTTTCAGACATTTCCTACTGAAGAGTTAAACAATGTGTTTCTGACTTTGCAATCTTGCATGATTGAGGTGATGAAAAATTCGGGGGGTAACAATTACAGGATTCCACATATGAACAAACAAAAATTGATAA